CAAAGGCCTTTGTCAATACCGGAGCCTGTGGTACAGCGGACTCAACCATGGTAATATCTTGAGAAGGATAAGAAGTGGGAACAGGAGCAGGTGCAGGTGCAGGAGGAGCAAAGGAAACAATCTTTTGCATGTGGTTTGGATTACCAAAGGTTTTAACTAAATTGGACTTCGAAGGTTTCTTCAGAAGTGCACCTTTCTTATGAATACCTCTGTCTTTGTGAGTTACATGGGCTTCAGGTTTACTATCTTTGGTACGCAAAGCAGCATACAAGTCTTCTTCTCTGGATGGATGGGATTCATAGGAATACTGGTAGGAGGTTGGTTGATGATCATGTTGAGATGAATCATGGTCAAGCATTACTTGTAATGATTGATTGTTGTTGATGGATTTTTGTTGATATGGGATGTTCGATTGACCATCAGTGTTAACTGCAATCGACCCATTTAGTTTTTTGAAGAACCTTGTTGTTGATTATTACGATAATCATTGGAAGGAAAAGGCGGTCTTGAATTTCTTCGAGCATCATTACTAGGACCATCCTGAAGAGGCGCATCAGATTGTTGACGTTGATTTTGGTAACCACTGTGACGATAATTGTCTTGATTATTACGATAGTTGTCCGAATTATTACGATAATTATCATTATTACGGTAATTATCATTGCGATAGTTCTCATTGTTACGATAATTGTCATTGTTGCGGTAATTGTCATTGTTGTTATAACGGGAATTATTACGGCGATCATTGTTATTGTAATTATTGTAAGTGGCAGGAGGCTTAGCAGTGGCGGCAGCAAAGTGGCGTTTGATTCCTTCTTCAATCAAAGATTTAATTTTATCATCTTCAATTTTCATTACATCGGAAGAGGCGGTAACAGGATTACTTTCGAGATTGTTCAAATGCAATCCGCTCATACTATTGGTAAGGTTACGAATGGAAGGAGATTCAACTACGACAGGTAACACAGGAACGATAGCAGCAGCATTAGGTTGCATAACTTCCAAAGGACGAACAGGAGTACGAACAGCAAAAGGATTATCAACAATAGAAATTGTCTTTTGATGATAGGCGTTCCAGTAACCATCAGCACTTTTCAAGTATTCACCAAAAGTTTCAGCACCCATTAATTTACATTGGATAATGATAGAAGGCAAAAGACCAGTTTGGAAACGCATTTCGATTTGAACAGCATCTTTAATCTCAGCAAGTTTGGCAGCTTCTTTCAAACGACCAAGATAGACACGAGGGTGTTCTTCGGTACCTTGTCCCATGCTATTGAATGCAAGTTGGTAACGACGAATGAGCTGAGGGGTAATGTATTCTTCACGCAAAGCGGCAGCCAAGGAAGAATAAGTACTGGTAGATAATGAAGAATCATCTTCGATCAAGTTGTCGAAGAAAACACGAGCACCATGTTGTAATTGGGTTTGTAAAATAACGATCTTTCTCTTGTCAGCAGTAATGTCCGACAAAGCAAAGTAAGATTCAAGTCTTTTTTCAAAATGACGATAATCCTCTCCTTCATCACCAAAAAATTCAATTAAGCGATTACGAGGGTTATTAGAATGATTGGGGGAAGCATGATGTTGATACGCCAACACAGTGTTATCAGAAACGGAGTTCATGATTGTTCGAATTGAGGTTTTTTAAGGTTTACAGATATTTAAAGAGAGAGACCCCTGTTAGTGAGCACCAAAATGATATAGCGCTAGTACGGATTTCGATTTAAAAAGGGACAATTATTATTATATAACAATTGTGATAGTGAGCACCAGACTTTTAGTTGTCAACTTAGTTTTATTATTTATTAAGAGTATTTCTGTAGTGATCTTAGACGATAAAATATATGGATAAGACAATAAAATGCAAATCGATAATAATACAGTGAGAGATGAGAAGAGAATATAGTTCTTAGATGTCAAAGATAAAAGAGTTTACGACGGGTTTATGTAAGAAGATGATGTGATTGTATAATTTACAATAGACAACAAACAGCAACAAAAAGCGGAGGAAATACTACTAGTATCAATTACAAGATAAATCCCAAATTTAGGTAAAGACAAAACTAAAGAATCTTTATTAAGAATTGAAAAAAAGGGAGCGTATTTATAGGAAAGATCCTATCCTGTGTAACAACAAGCCACATTATTATTGGCTGCAACAACAACAACCCATTTCGTTTGGCAAAATGCCATAGAAAAACGCTTGGAATAGCCATGGAAAATTTAGGTACAACTTGCAGAACGAACATTTTCGAAGAGGCATTTTTAAGTATGTAATTAAATTACGCCAGTAAAACAAAAATTGCTAAAGGAATATTGGTCACATAGATTTGAACACTCGTGGTGGGAATGGACGTGCAGTTGACTGGCAAATGTTTATCTTGTTTCTGGTTCCTACCATTGTTTGTGATATGATAAATATGCAGACTAATGATAATAAGAGGTATCTGAATTCTCCTGGTAGTAGCTTGCGCAGAACTCAATCGTTGATTGGTGACAGTTATGAGCAACATAATTTAGAAATTGACAATCGACGCAGAGATACTATTAGTACTCTTAAAACATTTTCCAGTGTTTGTGCAATTGCTTTACAATATAATATCAGTCAAACAAATATCAGAGAACTCAAAAGGTTAGTTACAATTATATAAAGGTTTAAAAATACTAAAACCCAATTTTTTTAATATTTGACGGCATTCAGTAAGCTGCAGATATGGATGGATTTTGTTCGAAACACAGACAATACAACACCAACGCAGTAACAGTCAGTCAGCACTATCTATCACACATACCATATGTAATTGAGGAACTTGGTCCTATGTGCTCGTTCAGTTGTTGACCTTTGGAACGCATGATTGGTATAGTTAAGCAGAAGATAGTGTCATTCTCCAAACCAGCGGATAATGCATACCAAATCATTCGTACTTTGGCAGATCAGTCTTTTTTGTCCAGAAAAACACCAGCTTGCTTCAAAACATCACTTACTGGAACCAGTATAGGGAAAGCTAACTCCGAGCATCGGTGTATTGCTGAATTCAGACACCTTGGTGCCAAGTTCCTCGAACAAGTTGAACTACAGGTCCAGTGCGAAGAAATCCGAGTTGTTCAGACAATAACAATAACGGGAAGAGGGTGCATACAGTTTTGTGCATCCACGGCAAAAAAACAATCAAGCATGTTCCTCGCACGCTTACCTATTAGTAATTTCGGTGGAACCAGTAAGAAATATTATGTCGTTCAGCTGGAGTTCATGTTTGTAGCAAAGCCATTATCAGCTGCAGACATGTTGAACAATGATGTTTTTGCTTGGGCTAGAATATGTTCAAATATTGAGTCAACTGTTGACGGGAATAATGTTTTATTTTATACTACCAGTCTCAACAGCATGCCACTTGCTGCAGAAAAGGATAATATGAGATCTCTGATCAACACCAATAATATTATCAGTCCCATAACAACAATACCTTCGCCAATAGAAGAAAATAAGCAATACCTTATTTGGTCATCTATGTCATTTAAAGAAGATTTGTGGATAAGTAATACGTCGTTTTTGTTTAAAAAACAAAAATTAACACTCATATATCAGATTTACTAAATAATAATAAAAAAATATTGCAATTATTACCACTTGTTGGAACACCCTTGAACACCTTAAACCCAATTGATGAAAACAAGCTCTTAATATAACACTCATTTGTCACCTTTTACAAAAGTGACCAAATTCATCACCTATTTAAATACATCTTAACACCTTTCTCTCCAGTGATAAGATGTAACACTTATTTTACACTTCTTAGTCATTTTTGCCAGAAGTGACAAAAATTAAGATTTATTTTAACACCTTTTAACACCTTCATTCTGAGTGGTAGAAATTAAGACTTATTTTAACACTTATTTGCCACCTTTATTTAAAGTGATAGCGAAAAACACCCGAATAAACACTCGAAGTCACTCAAAGTCACCTATTTATTGATTTCATCACTTATTTTTTCCCGTGGTGTTATGTTTGACGTTTTTGCGAAAGTTTGGTCATCATTCTGTCATCCAAATAACGGTATCCTTTGAGAGACAGAAGAACAGTTGTACTCGTACTACAATATCTTGGAGGATAGAAAAAAATATGGTAGCACGGTTCTGCGGAACATTAATATACCCCAGTATGTGCGATCAGCTACACAAAATCCAGCTAGATGACAAAGCTCTCTCACAGTCCCTGCTATATCTCAACCTCACCAACCTTCGTCAGAGACTATTTCTCAACTCTTTTCTGGTACGCAGACTATCATAAACATGCAGGTTCTAATACAGCCAAGACCATTGCAGCTTGTAACAAGACTTCTTGTCCCACATCCTTCCAATGCAAATCAACCGCCAGCTGTGGTAATTCCCGTACGGAAAAGAAGACGCAACATATGTATGGTGTGTAATCAAATCAATTGTGGTGGAACATCAAAAAGAATCTTCTGTGTTAATAAGTGCGGAGTATGTCAAAATATTACTTGTCCTGGAAGATACTGTATGTTCCTGGTAGAAATAACTCGAATAGTCTGTGTGATTTTGGTTGTGGACATCAACATATCAAATGTAATCTTAAATATTTTTTAAATTAAGCTATCTTATAGCAATAATCAAAACTCAAATAAATTATAAAACAGTCATAAAGTACTATTATCAAAATATAAAACTATTTCAGTCTAAAAAGCAAATAAATTGAAAAATAAAGTAATCAAGTTGTGTAAAGTGCTTGTGGCGAATAAAAAAGATTGCATAAAACTTTTATATGTAGTAAACAAAATCCTCCCTAATTTTTTCCTTTGGTTTGCATTCGACTTTTTGGAATAAATAATTCTGAATTTTCCACACAGTAAATTATTTGTTATTCTCAGCCTTAAAGCTACGAAATACATCCCAACAGTCTCGTAAAATCCATCGAATTAGATAGCTTTTTCAGGAAGTACGCCTTACTATGGTTATACCGCCTTTTCAGAAAAAAATTATCACGTGATTCTCACGTGTTTTGCCTCTGATTGGCTGACAAAGTCATGACTTGAGAGTACTCTTACTTTTGAGCGCAGATAAAAGAAATCCGGCCCTGCCACCCACACTATTTGAATCTGATCAGCTAACTACACCACTCTGAGCTATCAAAGTGTCATTTTACAAACTACCTACACCGATGTGTGCCATGGGCAACAACTCTCAGCACCACTTGTAACATTTTTATTTCTTTTCTTTTTTTGAAGAATAAAAATGCGTTCATGTCACATACGGCTTTCGCTTTCATATTGCCCCATAAAAAGCTTTCTGCTTTTTTTCTCGAGAATCTTCGCATTTTCAAGAACCAAAGAAGGTGATGGAGGTTGGCAAGAGTTTCGACAGTGTCTTCGTAATCTTGATCATCATCTTCGGGCATATAACCACGACCGTCATTGGTATCGTAATCTTCAAAGTGGAAGGCGCCAACATCCTCAGGAAACGGATGCATCTGATCGTTACCTTGGGTCTTATCGTTACCCTGATCCAGGCGAGGTCTTTTTATGAACCTTGGAGTCCAGTCTTCATTGCTTTTAGGGTCGTCCAGACGAAAATCGTCTGGAAGAAACATATCTTCCGGACCAGAAAAGTCATCAAAAGAAAAGTTTCTAATTCCATCGCTGACGGAATCAGAATTTTTAATGTTGTAGTTTGATATTATAATAAAATAAGAATTGAACTAAAATTTATTTGATTGAGAAAAGGGGTAAATGATCGGTGAGTGAGAGTAAACAAACTAAAAGTACATGGATTTTGAAGTCCGAGTTATTATCCAGAAGCTGTATTGTAAGCTATACATCGTACATTGATAGCGATATGGGAGAAGAATACTTAATATTTCGACATAGTAAAAGCTATTATGTGTATCTATATCAATATTAAGCATAACATCAATCATCCCTTATGCTGTCTAAAATGTGCAAAAGGCTGATTCATAACCTGATGTCATTGGTCCGCTACAGTCAGGAATCAGGGCTGTAATTGAATAAAAAAAACCTTTTTTGAGGGTATAAAAAATGAATCTCCGGGGGGATGAAGGACAGGGCTTCAAATCCACAAACAGTGTGACTAAAAAAAAGTTTAGTCAACGATCATTTTTGCAGCGTCCCAAATTTGGGATGCCCCTTAAAATAGCACATTTTTTCCCGTCTTTGTATATAATTAGACAATTGGGGTGAGTGGTACTTTGTGACTGAGCGCAAGTTTGTTCTCAGCTCGTTTTGATCAACTGTGTTCATGGTCACAAATTCTGTATTCAGTACGAGGTAGTAGATTGCTGTTGTCTGTGTCTGTGTTCGTGCTCCCGTTTTCTTGTCTTTTCTCGTGTGATTCTTATTATCTTGCTCACACAAGATTAGATTACTTCACTTTCGTCCTCGACGTCTAGTCTTACGTATGATATTCACCCTGGATATGGTATTAAGTATGAGTAATCTTCCTTTTTTTGTTCTTGCCGTACAAGATGTCGTATCATCTAGAATTTAATCTGATGTAATCGTAATTAATGGAAAGGATTTAAAAGGCCTTCAAAAAGCCAGAATCTTAATAAACTTATCTTATTTTTATCTTTAAATTTCAGACCTGTGTGTAGTTTTGTGTGCTATTGGTATTTTGTCTACTTGAATCATTTCTGTTAGCCATCGAATAACATAGGTGTATTATTGCATTAAGGTATCGTTTGTCGAAACTTATTAACATGACCATTTATTTCCTGGGTATTATAGTCTGTTGCTACCTTTCATCGTTTGAGAACAATACCCATTGTCCAACGGACGCTAACCCAAATACTAGCTATATTCATATCCCATTTTGGAGACCACGCCGTGATTATTTAAACTCTCTCTGTTATTTATTACTCTGTTCTCTTGTTGTCAATCTTGTTTCTTGCTCGTCATTCTACAAGTATATTACTATGGTATAACCTTCAAGTTCAAAATCATCTAGTACAAGTGCTCCCTTACAAGACGTTCGTCAGTCTATGAACGCTGCCTCTGTTAGTCGTATTAGCAAGTTTCTGGCTAAGCCCAAAGTCTTTTGTGGTGACGCTTCTAATCCTATGGTATGGTTACACTCCATGGAAAGAATCTATAATGGTATGAATTTCTCTGACGAAGAGATGATTTTCGTTTTAGCTTCGTATTTTGCTGGTCCTGCCACTGTGTAGCGGAATGTAATTGAATCTAGCGTTAAGACCTCGGAAAACATTGTTACTGAATTCACTATTCAATATGCTTCTGGTACTTAAAAGAACGTATGGTGAGAAGAATTGGAGAATCTACAACAAGGACCCCATCAAAGCATTGATGATATCAAACTTGGTATTATGGAGTTGGCTACCTTACTGGGTGTGCCTGCCGCAGCCAAAATTCCTTATTTCATGCATGCTATTAGCAAGCGTATTGCCTTACGTGTGTCTGATATTAATGCCTCTTTGTCTGATTGGAGTGTAGTAAGCAACTCGGCTAAGTGTATCGAAATGAATGACAACAAGTAAAATAAAGCACAACAAGTAGTAGAAACCAAGGCTCCACGTTGAGTAGAGTATCAAGAACCTTCTGGTTTACGTACTGGTGGTGATGCAGCTAGTGTAGTCTCATTGAACTCTATTGCTTCGACGGTTGAAAGACTCTGTCAAGGTTTCGATTCTTTACAATTACAAATGAATACTAGTGGTAACAGTGCTGCCGGAAGTGTTCGTAGTACAAACCATGTACGTATTGCGGAGCCTGCCAAGGGTTACACACCTTTAAGTGAACGCCAATGTTATAATTGTCAAGAGTATGGTCATCTATCTACGTTCTGTCCAAAACCTCGTCCCACTCGTAATCCTACTGGTAACACTCCGGCTTCTGGTGCTAATGCAACGCCTATTGGTGGTGATAACAAAGCTGAGAATGAAGAGGCGGGAAAAGAGCAAGGACGTTATTAGGCAGTCCACCTAATAATGTCCGTAATCCTACCACGGACAAGGACAAGGAGGGTCACGAAGTACATTTGATTGAAGCCGCTGAAGTGTATGCTGCTAAGAGAGCTAACGATGGTGATTCGATTACCAAAGAAGCAACTACTCCCAAGAAAACTAGAGTGAGAGGTACTGGCGGTAGACCTATGTTATCTATGCAACAGTCATCTCCCACGGTAACTCCTATCCAACCTATGCCTTCTATACCCCCAAGTCAGCCAAGTCATGCCTATGAATAATAGCCCACAACAGTATTAGATGCCTCATATGCCTCCTATAAATCAACCTATGCGTTCCATGCAACCTGGTCATGCTTCATCTTCAGCACCGCTACCAAGACCTGAACCTATGGTGTTAGATGGTAATGTGTCAAGTGCTGCAGTTGCCGGTAATAAACCAAGAAGAATACGTGCACCTCCACGTAGGTTGAAGGTAACTGGACCGGTTCTGAACATCTGGGAGAAAATGGCTGCTGGTGCATCACAAGACTATCTCACCATAGTAACAACTACTCTAATGTAAATACGGAACATATAAGAATCACCGATACAACAAATACGAATCACCGACTTAACAAACATGAACATATAATATATATGCAAGAGCAAATTAAGCATTTAATAAAAAATTATCTTATATTTGACTGAAATTATTGTCTCTTAGACATCGGATATTACATTTTTTTCAATCTATAACTAAAAAACTCCTTTATTTTTACAAGAAACCTTATTTTTTAAAAAAACGAAACCTTAAATCTTAATATGGCTTACTCCACTCCCAGGAAGAATACAAGAAGTTCCACCGGACAAGACTCCAATGAAGAAACTTCTACGACGAGAAGTGGTATCAGTGCCAGTGAGCGATCTTAGAGTATCCGTAATAATGAGAATCCACAGTATTCCGTCCCAATTGACATTACTGACAACTTGGGTTTGAACAACAGTTTCGAGGATTTGGAGGCTGATGAGGCCGAAATTCCTTTTATTAGTAATTATAAAAATCTTCAAGATTTCGCCCCATTTGGCAGTAATAGCAATATGGGTGTAACGAACAACCATGAAATATATTTTGTGCTATTGAATGGGGATCTTGAACGCATTAAGGGTATTCAATTGCCGTATTTTCGAATAAATCGTATTTTGACGAATAAAAAATTCAGCCAATCTTATTTTTTTTTTAATTATTTGACCAAGTTTTTTCACGAACATTCTACAATGACAATTTACGATTGGCTGATTTTTTTATTCCTCAAAATACGATTTATCTTATAATATACTACAATTCATACCTTTTTGCAACACGGAATTTAGACCCCGCTGAAAAATTTATTTCCGAGGGGGGTCCGGGGGTTTCCCCCGGAATTGGGGGTGGGGGGTCTGGGGGGAGGGGCTTGCCCCTCCCCCCAGGAACAAAGACCGGTGGATTGGCATTGAGTGTAAAAATGTGGATTGGCATTGAGTGTAAAAAATATTTATTAGATATATTATCTTTATAGAGGGGGTTTGGGGTAGTATCCCCCAAAAGAGGGGAGGGGGGTCTGGGGGGAGGGGCTTGCCCCACCCCCCAGGATCAAAGAACGTTTGATAAACATTGAGTGAATAGAAACATTGGCCTCTATGTGAATCTTTGAAAGAATACCAATTGGCTATGTAACCTAAAAAAATTAAAATACCGTCAAAATTTGCTTAAAGTATAGCTTGGCATAAGTAAAGACATGTTTATTTAAAAGGTTGACTTGAATAGATTGTCATAAATAATAATATTAGCCCTCCCCCTAGGAATGGGCTTAATGATACTGGCATTTTTTTTGAAGCTTTATAAAAAGCAAATTCCTTCTGAACTTAATTGCTTTTTACTCTTAAATTTTTTTAATGCCTTCAGTTACTCAAAATCGTTGTACATCTTGCAGAACTCACCTTGAAGAAGACGTTACGTTTCATACATGTGATTCATGTCGTGTACGTGTTTGACAGCCTTAATTAATACTAAAAAACACATATACTTACTGATTTACAATAGGAACGAGTAAGAGCTTATAGTCGCTCGCGTCGTAGCAATAGACAACCCGCAACTTTCATATCCGAATTAAGTCGAATGAAAGAATCAGATCTTGGAAGAATGAACATTGAATGTGTCAATTGTGCTGCTCTTCATTGGAAAGGGGAAAAGCCTACAGGTTACACGGTAGCATCGCCTAAATGGGAAAGTTGCTGCAAAAAAGGCTCTGTTAGTTTACCTTTGTTGAATGAGCCACCCATGTTCCTTAGAGAATTAGTTAATGGAGCACACCCAAAATCTTCTCATTTTCTCAACAATATCAGACAATACAACGCTGCATTTGCCTTTACTTCTTTTGGTACAACTGGTAACACCCAGCAAAACAATGGCACCCGTGGATATATGCCCGTCCAGGTTCACGGTGAGCTATATCATCTTCAAGGTCCGATCAGTGCACATGAAATGTGCCCACCGATGTACAATCAGCTTTATATATATGATCCTGAATTTGCTGCCAGAGTTAGAGCGGAAGATACGCGCAACGGTGGACTTGATGAACAACTGATTCAACGTTTGAGTATCATGCTTCATGTTGAATCCAATAATCCATTCGTCAGCATTTACAAGCACGCACATGAAGTTTTAAAAAGTGCTACAGAATCACAAATAGGGGATGATCATGCAGCAAATATGCATATTCGCCTTAATCCTCAAATGAAAATGCAGTAAATTGTTGGCAATGATAGACGCACAGAAAATTTGCCTACTGTCAACGAAATTGCCGCTATCATTCCCAATGAGTATTCCGATGCCAGCTATCGTGATATTTTGATTACCTTCAGAAACAACGGCGAGAATAATGGACTTTTTAAAAGAATCAATGAAACACATGCCGCCTACATGCCACTGCATTACGTTTTGTTATTTCCAGCAGGTGATTATGGATGGCATTGGGGATTAAGACTTAATGGTTCAACAAATGATGCTATCGAATCTGACGACAGCGACAAAAAAAGGCTTACACAACGTGCGTTTTACAGATACAGACTGCATGTTAGAAACAGCGAATTCCCTATCATTTTTTTTTTCAAAAAGACTTTTTCAGCAATACCTGGTAGATGCTTGGGCTGTCTGTGAGCAAACAAAATTAGATTGGATCAAGGCAAACCAAAGCTCTCTCCGCGCCGACGTTTATAACGGATTGGCTGATGCTACAAACAGCTCTGATTCAAATTTGGATCAAATAGGCCAAAAGCTTATTTTACCAAGCAGTTTCACAAGTGGGCCTCGGTTTATGGCTAAGCTTTATCAAGATGCTATGGCTATATCCAGATATTATGGCAAACCATCTTTGTTCATCACTTTCACTGCCAACCCTAATTGGAAAGAAATTAAGGACGAACTATTTCCTGTGAAAACTGCTTCCGATCGTCCCGACATCGTTGCTCGCGTGTTCAATTTAACGCTTAGAGAGTTACTTGACGATTTAAAGAAAAAAAAAGTTTTTGGTAAATGTTTGGGTATTGTCAGAACTATTGAATATCAAAAGCGTGGCCTTCCCCATTGCCACATTCTTCTTTTTTTGGAAAACAAGTTTGATACACCTTCGGATATTGATGTAATTATTTCAGACAAAATTCCTGACAAGAACGACGAACCTGATCTCTATTTGGTAGTAAGCAAAAACATGATGCATGGTCCTTGCGGTGTAATCAGCGCAAAATCTCCGTGTATGGTTGAAGATGCATTTGGCAAGATTAGCTGCTCAAAAAAATTTCCCAAGCCGTATCAACCAACAACATTAGCAAGTGATGACGGATACCCATTGTATCGAAGGAGCATGGATGGTAGATCACATGTCATCAGACATCCATCCCATAGAACAGAGGAGTTTCATATTACTAACTGTTGGGTTGTGCCATACAATCCGTTCCTTTCAAAACAATACAAGGCTCATATAAATGTTGAAGTTTGTGGAACTGTCAAGGCTATCAAATATATTAACAAATATATCTATAAAGGTCCCGATCAAACTACTATTTGTCTACAGAATAAAAATGACGAGATTGAGAAATATTTAAATGGTCGATATATCAGCCCCGTTGAAGCAGCTTGGAGAATATTTGAATTTCCCATGCATGAAGAAACACCATCTGTCACCCAACTAGCTGTACATTTACCTGGAGAACAGCCCGTTTATTTTGACCCTCTTTGGACGCAAGATAAAATAAACGAAACTCTTGAAAGCACTAGATCAACCCTTATGGGATATTTCAAATGGAATTTAGATAATCGACACAAGGAAGACTTCAACCCATTGTTATATCAGCAATTCCCTGAAACTTTTGTCTGGGATAAATCAACCAAAGTGTTGAAACAAAGAAAGAACAGTCGTTTTGCTATTGGTAGAATGTATTACTGTAACCCTTCTGCCGGTGAGCGCTACTATTTACGACTGTTACTCACAGTTATTAAGGGAGCTACATCCTTTGTTAATTTAAGAACAGTAAATAACGTACAATGCGAAACATTCAGGGAAGCTTGCATGTTGTTGCATCTAATCGAAGACGATGAAGAGTGGAAAAAATGTTTTGAAGAAGCAGGTACATTTGCATCCGGTACTTCTCTTCGGTCTATGTTTGTCTCAGCACTTTTATTCAACAGCTTGAACTCACCTCCGGATATCTGGGAAAAATTTGGTGAAAGTTTTTGTGATGATTTGGATCATGCTATCGAGAAAAAAGGATTCGGTGTATTGCTTGATCTCAATACTGACGCGGTCTTTTACAACAACAGTCGTTCTTTGGACTATGGCTTATATCTTCTGGAAAAATCATTACAAAACCATGACAAATCTTTAAGATTTTTTCAGCTTCCTTTGCCGATGTTCAAGTGGAACGTATTGATCGATCATATTTCGTACATCCGAGGAAATACGTTGGTTCAAAGCGAGTTATCATATTCAAGTAGAGAACAACAGCAAAGCTTTCAAGAAACGTATAACCAGCTAAATACCTGTCAAAGAGAAGTGTTTGATACAATTACATTGGCCATCAACAACCGTGATAAAAATGCCCACTTTTTTTTGCAAGGTCCCGCGGGTACAGGAAAAACATACATTTATAATACTCTTTGTAACTATTACAGAAGCCAAGGTAAAATTGTTCTGTGTGTAGCCTCATCCGGTATTGCAGCTCTATTACTACCAGGTGGTCGAACGTCTCATTCCCGCTTCTCAATCCCCATCCAGATAACTCAATCATCCGGTTGTCACATTAAAAAAGACGGCGATCTTGCTGATCTTATTAGAAACACCGCACTGATTATCTGGGATGAGGTTCCAATGCAACACCGACATTGTTTCGAGGCAGTCGATAGAACATTTAGAGATATATGTAATTATGACGATACTTTGTTGTTTGGTGGTGTACCTGTTGTTCTTAGTGGTGATTTTGCCCAGATCCCACCCGTAGTCACCCACGGTAATCGGCCCCAAATTGTGGATGCTTCTTTGATCATGTCTTCTGCTCTCTGGCCAAGACTCAAAAAGCTTTTTTTGACAGAGAATATGCGTTTGGCTAATTCGGTTCAAGAGGATAAGGACTTCGCTGAATGGATCGGAAAGATGTCTTATGATTCAAATCTACATGGACCAATTTCATTACCAGCATATATTCGCAAATTTTCTGACTCTGCTGCTTTTATTGAAGACATTTACCCTAAAAGTGTTCTTCAACGTCCACTTGAAAACAGTAATTTTTTTAAAGAAAAAGCCATCTTATGTTCGAAGAATATCAATGTAGAAGCAATCAATAGCAAAGTTTTGGAACAGGTGGTTGGTGATAAAATTACTTTATTCTCTTCCGATACTGTACAATCGGATCTCACAGGGTCTTCAATCAATAGCATGCCTGAAGAATACTTGCACAGTTTAGCTACTTCTGGCCTGCCGCCTGCAAAATTAGAGCTAAAAATTGGCCTTCCTGTTATGCTTCTGCGTAATTTAAATCCCGAAAGGGGTTTGTGCAATGGGACAAGGCTGATTATTCTTCAAATTGGA